AGTCAAATCGAAGACGAAATATCTATAGAGTATTTTTTAAATGAAATAAGCTACATCTTGCTGACATAAGCCGCTTTGAGAACCATAATGCTTCGACCAATGTTCGACTGTGTATCTGAATCAAATAAACTACACTGTTCATTGTGATCAACTCTAGCTCTTCGATTCAGCTCTCTCGAGCTGTCATACACCTATAGTAAACTTGCACGAGGGTAGGATGTTGTATCTGTTCTGTTAGAAAAAGTGAAATCATCAGTTTTAAGAAATGCACATTTGAAAGAAAAAAAACATAACATCTTTGATTGCACGTTACATGGATATTTGTTGTTTCTTTCTTTTTATAAAAACGAGCATAAATAATGTTGACGAAGATTAGAAAGGAAATCATGTGATGAATTAATGAATATTGAGTTTGCATAGAGTTTACAATGTAAGTAGTGTAAGGGACTTTTTCAATAAGTATCGTCATTCTCTGTACCTATTTAGACTGAAGAATTGTTATGCATACTGTTTAATCTTTATTGATTTTGATTTTCTATATAATTTATATATGTTTGACATTGATATCATTACAAATCAATAAATGACTTACGAAGCATGACAGTATGTGTTTAATTATGCTCGATCTTTTCATTTTAATATTTTTTCTTTGTTCTATTTTAGACATGTTTTATGTCATGTTACTTTTCCTTTAAATCAATCGAATGAATCAGTAACCAAAATGAGACGATAACAATGTTCAGAAAGTCGTATACTATTCAAAAATAGTCATCGAACTGTTTGATTCATACAAATCAAGTTGACAATTATATATTCAATTTGACAGAGAATATGAATTAAAATGTTTTTTGAATTAAATATATATATCTGAGAATCACGAAAATTTGAATTCCATGTCGATTTTGATTGAATATAATACCTTTTTGTCTTTTTGATTCATATTAGTTTATTTATTTTTCGCTGTCACATATGTTGTATTCGAAATAAATGTAAAATGCTTTTCAAAATTTGATTGTTGTCAATAGCCAATAGTTTATTGAAGAAAAGTCGAACAAAATAAAGAGCAACTTCTGTATATTTAATAATCTTTTTTTTATTTATTATGATATTGTATGATATCGAGCATATTATTTATCTAATGAGAAGAACGATGATTATCCATTACTTGATAGACAGAAGAGTAGTTAATATCTAGAGATGAACGAAATCAATCGAAAAAAAGGAGATTCTTATAGCAAAAGAAAGTGATACATAATCGAATAAATTATGCTTCATTAATGCTGATTGACGAAATCAAGTATTGCAAAGGTAATTTCCAATAAAAACTGTTTCTGTGTCACGAATAAAATAGATACAATCTTTTTTTTCTTTTTCTACTCATCTCTATATTCGAAAGAATAGACGACCGAAGCTAGATAGCAGATAGAAGAAAAAAAAAAGACAATCGATAAAAACGTCTACTTCTGTTGTATGTTTTATTCGCGTTTTTGTGTTGTGTGTATTATTGACTACGTCATGTGTTTTATGCGCGATTGACTCATTGAATTGTGTTTATTTTTTTAATTTTTTCCAACATTGGCCTTCATTAACCATTGCTATACTTTGTATAGCAGAGATGTCCACAGGACAGGGCTGGTTAAAACCTTTGTGCCCAGAAATTTTCACACATTAGATAGTCTTTACTCTCTTTCGTAACAAATGTTTTGAATTGCCATGAAAACTTTAAGAATAAAAAACAGTATAGATATCTTTATCAAATGGTGGCGAAGACTAGCCGATCCTAATGATAAAAGTATATTTCTATGAAAATAATACTAACCAAAGGGAAGAAAAAATAAACGACATAATGGAAACATATTTCTAACTGTTGACCATTTTTTTTCTTTTTTTACTGAGTCAAGCAGCAATCAAGTTATGATCTTCACATCATCTGATTCACATTGTACAAAGCACCTGTCAGCTTCTGTTGGCAAAAATGATCTTTCTGCTTCATCGTTTTAAATATTTCGTCCAATGCGAGTAGTTCATAATATATATCCAATCGATTGCAACGATTTTTCGTGAGTCAGAAACGCATTTCGAACTTTGAACTACTAGTCAACAAAAAATTCTGCATCTTGGTGGTGATCACTCAGTTCTCTTGCTATTCTAAACGAACATGATAAATCAGAAAGTATATCTGAATTTAGTTTTTCTTTAAAATGATTTCAGGAATCTACTGACAGACCGACTAGGAAAACCGAACATTTATTTATCATGCACATCGATGCTAGCCGCTGATTTTATCATATTGTTCTATTAATAACTAAGATGGTTTCAAACTAAATCAACTCAACTTATACAGGGGTTCCCAAAATTATAAGACCCCCCTACAAGTTTGAGAATAATAAAGTTTTCAGCAACTAAAGAAGCTTTGATAAGAGATCTAATGCCATATATATAGATGTCGCTAAAGCATCTATCATGGGCTATATTGATCTTTATTTGGTTAAATATTAATAATATTTAGATTCAAGAAATTTTGAATTTCACTCGTTGCATAATTATAGGAACCCCCTCTCTGGAGTATAAAAGTATTGCCTTAATGTTCATTTTTTTACGTCAAAAAAAATCTTGTCAGTATCTATTCGAAAGAGGAGATAATTAGTTATCTACTGAAAAAAATATAGACTTATATAAGCTATACTTTAACTTTTCTATGGTCGAAGAAACTAAAGGGTGGAAAACCTATATCCCACAATAACCCTATTTTAGCTCAAAAAAAGGTTTCCAATTGTTTAATGTAATAAAACTACATTTAAACTATACCATTAGATAGAGCATTAAAAGTTGTATAGTCCACATATTTATTGACAACAAACTTTGAAGACATTAATAATTGTGAAAAGGTAAAATAAAGATAGTCAAAATCAGGTATTTTGTAAGGAACTTATGAAAAAAAAATTTCTTTTCATATAAAAACCAGACGTATTTTTTTTTCAAGGTTACCATAAGAAAGAGCGTCAAATTCTACACCAAATAGATTACTTCTTTTTACGAAAGCTTATCTCCAAACGCCCGGGAACTTAGTCTCAAAAAGGAGGCAAATCAGTCTCATTATGCCAAAAAATAGCATATGCTAGTGGTATCACGAAAGAACATGTTTCAACAATTTTTGAAGTAAAATGTCTGAGAAAAAAAATTTTATCTTGTTAAAAATTTGCGCTGTTGCTATTACTGTCTCTCAAATGAACTTTCTTTCTGATGCCCACACCCACACCTACACACCCACACCCACACACCCACACCCAAAATGCTTCGGTTCGATCTTCTTTTGCTCATATTTTTTTGTCTTATTAGTACCAAATTAACTAGAGAGCAGTATGGGAGAGAGACTAGCCGTCATTTGCTAAAAATCATCCACCAGATTAAAAGTGTGGATAATACAGAAAAGAGAAGGAACACTCAATTTCTACATATTATATATAATATAAATATGTTGGCACAATATACAGAAAATTATTATAGAATAGGAAACAGTACAATAATGGAAGATGAATAATAAAACATAACAGACAACTTGTTATACAAAAAAATGCAATACATAAGTGAAAGTAATTGAGATAGCTCAATTAATAGGCGTTTTTAAACAGAGAATAGATATTCGTAAAATTTTTTAGTTTTAAACTTACATTTCTTTATTAGTTTGATGAAACTTTGTACACACAAACATATGAATGTTTTTGCAGTAAATTGTGACAAACAAAACTTTTTAGAAATGATATAATACTTAGACGTGTAATAAAATATTTTTATGTAAAGTCTTCATCAATTATTTTGATTGTAACAGAATAGATAAAAATCTATAGGCAAAGTTGGGATTATACGGAGGTGCTGAGTCTGGTCGGACGCCTAATTCTTTTTCTATCGTCTTGCTTCCATAATATGATTTTTTTTACCACTTATAGTGCTCACATAATTCTAATGAACAGGCAAGTCTAAGGAGTCTCTATCTTATGTAAAATCAAAATAATCAAAGTCTTGAAAAAATATTTTTCTACTTACAAACAGATTTTTTTGAAGATTTTGATTTCACATGAGGTAGCGTTCATTAGCATTATGCAAACACTGTAAGTGGTAAAAAAAACATTTTTTTCTGATGTATTATGGAAGCAAGATGATAGAAAAAGAACTGAAGCTTTCGGTCAAACTGAGCACCCACAGTCTTTGATGATTGAGGGTATATAGACTTTCCTGGCTAGTATTTCCGAGATCATGTCATCATTCAAAAGAGAAATCCAAAAATTATGTGTCCAGATCAACTCTACAAACTAAAAAAAGTCTAAAATATCTATTCCCTCCGTAGTAGCGATAGTATTGAAAGTTATATGGTTTTGAATCATAGGACCAGCACTAACTAACTACTGAAATATGCAAAAAGAAAAATTTTTCTAACAATTTAATTTTTTGAAAATGTTTTTCTTTAAAACAACATGTTACAGATGCAAACTATTCGTATAAATAATAAATTAACATAGAAGAATTGTTCAAATAAATCTTTTCCTCAACAGAATATCTTTTTTTTTCACTTCATGATATTTCCATAATCAAAAGTCCTTCTATCAAATTTTATTAATGGGATGAAATGTATTAGAACATATATATCTTCATCTTTTTTCTTTGTTCTTCATTGTTATTATACAATGTGAGAATGAGTCGGAAGAAAATAACAAGAGAAAAGGCACTCCTGTAAGTTATTACTGTTGTACTGATCTACTGTCAAATTGTATAAAAACAGAAAGGTGAATATGTATATATTCTAGTACATTTCATTCGATCAATAAAATCTGAAGAAGGCAACACATTGATTGCTGAAAATACATAAGGAGAATGGGAATATGCTACTAATAATGAGATTTATTTAAACAATAATGGGAGTATTGTATCGATGGAAAAGATTTTGATACTGTTCACATATAAATTTTAACCAAAACTTAAAGGTGATTAATTTAAAATGCCTATTAAAGATTTTCTGCAAGTAATTTTACTGTTTTGTCATTATTTAAACTATCAAGAAGGGTCTTAGCAATTTTTCTTGAGCTGTAATGATAAACAGCATCAGAATCTTTTGGTGGTCTTGACACTAAGACATGTGCGACAGTTGTAGATTCATTACCCCTACGTTGATGTTCATATCTCTGTCCACCTATTTGCACTTGAAAATTAACATAGTCACTATTTCCAGTAAAATTCTGATCATCTAAGCGTACATTATCTGTTTGCTTTATTGTACCCGCCTTAAATGGATGAGACATAATTACCACTAGTTTATCATTTTCATTCCTTAATTTTTTCATAGCTTCAGGTATTAATTTATATTTTATTTCTTTTTCTAGAACCATCCTGCATTACAGTGATAGGATTGAAGATTTAAAGGTTTTTCTTTGGTATACCACCTATCATCTGATTACATCTATTCAAATCAATCTCCCATCTATGTCTAACATATTTTTCTGAATGTTTAGCAGTATAACGACGTAGTGATACTCGTTCTTGTTCTATAATATTTTCATTTACTTTTCTACCTAATGATTCATGATAAGCTATTAGCAAACAATCTTTCCGTTCATTGATCTGTATATATGTTTCTGTTCCTCTACCAGTAAAATAATGTCCAATATCTTAATTTTTATCTGCTTCATAATAGATTTTAGCAGATTGTTTAAAAAGAGCAGGTATTTTTCTGACTCCTGAAGGATTTATTATTTCTTTTTCCATTAAATTGTGAATCAGCCATTGTCTTTATTCCTTGTACAATGGTTTTTCCAATCTGTTTTAATGTTCCATTAATAGCTTGTCTTACTACTTTATCTAATTCTTTTGTTAATTTAGTTGATATATATATTCTCTAATGATTCTATTCAATTGTTCTGCTCTTGTTTCGACAAGGTTCTTATTAATGTTTTTTCTATAAATATTCTGATTTTCTTTGGTAGTGCCGTCAATAATATCTTTTAAAGTATTAAAGACATGTTCGAACTGTAAGACAGATTGAACTACAGTCCACAACTTATTAATGATATCTATTGCTTTAAGAGTAGTAGTCGCTATTTTAACGTATTTTGAATTTGATTTCTTTAGACCATCAGCAAATAGATGATAACTATTTCTTAAAGAAGATACAACTCGTGTTCGAATATTATCAAATTGTTGAGGTAATAAAATATCTTTTCCTAATGTTTTTTCTAATATGTTTTTTCAATTCTTCAAAAGATTTTTCGAACTCTTCTTCATTTTTACTTTGAAGATAAAGAGGTTTCTACTTTATTATTTATTAAACCGATTATTCCTTTTAATAAATTTTCTTCTATTTTACTAACAATCTTTTGTATAACATTTTCTTGAATCTGTTCCATAATTTTATCCGTCAAAAACTTTCCAATTCCAACAGTCAACATAGAGAGACCGAAGCCAATTGCTTTTTGTATTGCCCATTCTTTCCAACTAAAAGTACCTGATATTAAAGCATTGCCTATCTGAGTCAAACCAAAGGCTACTAAAACAGCTTCGGCAATGACTTGAACAAGTCCTATCATTGCAACCGCAAAAGCATTCCAATCCCACCAAGATTTATCTTCTTCAATAATCAAAAATTTATTAAGATTAAAACCTTCAAAAAATCTTAATTCACTTGGAACATTTTCTTGATCTTGAAGATCTATAAAATCTTTTAAATTAGCTTTTAAACCTGTTTTAAATGAACGAATATCTCCTTGTAAAGACAAAATTTTCGACAAAATTAAGTCTTTATCATTTTCAAATTGAATATTTTTTAAAATTTTATTTAAAATTCTTTCAATATTTCTTTTAATATCTCCATATTTATATTTAGCAAGTCCACCAGACTTTAAAATATTTTTTTCTTTTAGATAAATTCGAATATTATTTTCTTCTTCTTCTTTAATAGTAAATGGTAAATCTGTGTTGATAAAAATATTGATTTTGTTGACTAATATTATCTTTTAATTCTATTTAAAATGTTTTAAGATCTTTTGTTTCATGACCATTATCATTAAATTTAATTATTGCATATTTTCCTTCCTATTGATTGTTTAAATAGAGAAATATTAACTTGTTGTGGATCTATTTTATCTTCTAAAACTTTCCAAACATTTTCATATATCCGTGGTAATTCTTTTTCTATTCTATTTATATTTAAAATTTTCCATAATTCTTCCCTATAACAAACAAAATCTTCGAAATCTTTTCTTTCAAAAGAAGATTTACTATTTAATAAAGTAATTAATGGATGGGCAATCGAAGGATCAAGATCATTTCGAATTATCTTTTCTATTTTATCTCGTTCTTGTGAATTATTTCGAAATCTTTTTCTTATTGTATCTCCTTGAATAATTTCATGGTGAACTAAAAGTGAATATAATTCTTTTCCTTTATTTTGGTTTTCACGAGTTAAACTTTGTTCATCTTTTGGATGTAAAATAAAATGAAATGGTTCTACTGTATCTCCAACAGCTTCTAATTTTCCTGTTATTTAATCTTGATAAAAATTTTCTTTTGAAGAAATTCTTTTGAAGGGTGTGGGTGTGGGTAGGGGTCTTCTCTTTATCTACACCCACACCCAAATTTGAACCTAGCTCTACACTATTAGAGAACCTAAAGAGAAAACTCTGATCAAAATGCACTTTTTCCTGGAAACGAACTTTCGTCAAAATAAAAGGCAAAGCAACCAGACTATTTAATTTAAATTGATTACAATAGCTGATTTTCCACATTAATCGTTTGAATAAGAAAACAATTATTAATGCCTTCATTCAATTTACTAATTTAATCAAATAAATAACAGACACAACAGATATACAAAGAGGTTAATACTAAAAAAAATCATATTTGATTTCTTCATATGAAAATAGTGGCAAAAGAGTTCGTCTGTCTTCATATAAAAATTCAAAAATTATTTTCCTCTTATGCAACCATGATTATATGATGCCTGATCTGTTGTACCTAATCATACTAATTGAATCTTGCGATCAGCAGTACGTATGAGTAAGATTTCTGGACTAATGACTATTTGAATTGAACTGAGGTCATTTGAAAAAAGAAACATAAATTAAATTTGAATAAATATTAGAACATAAAGAAAATTGTTTATGAATCTTATCAAAAGACTCATTGTTTAATATGTTACGATTGGGAGAAGTTACTTGATATTTTAAACAAAAAACTTTACACAAATATTCTTTAAGCATCAATATCAATCTGAATTCTATCATACATATCGAATATAAATATGTCAATAAGTCTTTTATTATAAGCCTTTTTATTGATAGAAACTTCTCATAAAAGTAACGAGAAGGATATCATTTCATAGGGGGACGTTTGCAATTTTCTTTAAATGTCATTTAGATCAAATTTTTCTTCTACTTTTCAAAGATTCACTTATACTTCTTGACATATGGTTCTTACGAAAATTCTTTTTCACGCATAGAATGTTAACACATCTTTATCAAAATTTTTTCATTGAAAGTCTAATGAGAATAGAAATATATGGTTGATTAATTAATTGATTTATTATTATTGAGATTTCTTTTACAAAATCAAATATTTGATCTATACATAATTTGATTTCTAAAAAAGCAGAGACACTCTTCAGTCAACGAAATTAACACACTTCGAGTATAACAAAATTTTTTCTTATTATTGTCAACAGATAACAAACTAATTGAAATTATAAGATTTAAATAAATAAATATAAAGTATAAACAAAAGATATCTCATGTTCAAATCAATTTTATTAACTAATAATCTTAGTAATTTCCTTTTATACATTATTTTATTATTTCTTTAGTTCAATTATGCATTGTAACAAGCTCTATTCAAATGAAACGTCTTACTTGTACATTTTCTCACCTATTATTTACTCACGTTTGTTCACTTTTTTTGGAAAGAAAAACAAAATAAATATCGCAATAAAACTGTCCCTTTTACAAACACTCGATAACTACATCAGTTCATTGCATAACGAAATCGGCAAAAAAATACCAATTGAACAATGTCTATATTGATGAGAGAATTGAATAATTTTTTATGACTATATTAAGCAATGAAGACCCTTCAATTTGTTCTTTTGTCATATCAATTACGGAAATCAAGATAATTCTAATAAAAAATATTCTAGTCTAGCTATGTATATACCTATTTAATTAATACTTTTTCTAATTGTCTTTATAAAATTATGGAAAATGGATATATGTCCGAATATGTCTGTATTATTTTCAAAAACATCAAAACTTAACGAGAAAAATACATAAATAAGTTGTTGAGTATGTTTTATTTTTTATGAAACTTCATAACATCTCCATTCAATCGAAATAAACAATATACCGACAATAATTTGACGAAAGATTTGAATGAACTAAATACTATGAAAACAAAAGGAAGTTCTTTTATCTGTTGAATAATTTTTGTAAGAGAGAAAAAAATAATATGAAATACACGAATACACCTACAATGGTTTATTACTATCATGAAATCATTAGATTGACAAGTTTATTTTTTACTTAGATTTGTTTTTATCGTATATGAAGTTTCAATCTATAAAAACACAGAATATACTTCATTTAATTCTAAGCATATGATATAATTTCATGGACAGCGATTTTTTCAGTAATTAGAAACAATTATCTATTTCATTGATCAATACTCGTGAATATTTAAACAAACTGAATAGATTTGATCAATAAAAGCATAAGCATTTAGTTTTTGGAATTTTCAATGAACAAAACAATTCTGTTCTTTCTTATATTTCTCAATTTTCATCATTCAATTGATATGATCAAATAACCAATTTCACTTGCGCCTTGTAACAAGCGATACATTGTTCAGGTGGCAAGAAAAAATTTGTCACTAATGAAGTAAGAGAACGGCATTCCTCTTGTCTTCACGCATTACATTAGATTACGTTGAAAAGAAAGTGAAATGTGTAAAAATGATAGTGCTTATAAAATCTAAACTCAATTCATTCTTTCTATTAACATTTTATCGTATGTAGTTTAGTATAAAAAACTATTTCCAAAAGCTAGAAATAGTATTGTTTTTGTATCACTGTTTTCTATTCATAATGTGGAAAATGAATAATTTTTTTTCTATAGATATATCTGGAAAACAAAAAAAACGATAATATATACTGTATAATCAGCTGTATATTTTGAGAGGAATTCATGACTACTGGTGCATGTGCCTCAACATTCGTTTTGTTTTTTATATATCCACAATCACGAAATGATTAAATCTAATATTGAAAATAATTTTGAGAGTTTTATATTCATCACTATTTCTCTGAATTTGTGAATGCAATTGAATACATATATAAAAATCAGTAATACAGGTTATTGATAGTTTTTTGTGATATTTACAGAACGTGCTTATCGAAAAGATTTATTTTATACAGTTATCCTTCATAATAAGTGAATGATAGTTACTCCTTTATTACATTTATTGTCTACTCATAATTGATACATATGACCAAGACAATTCAATTTTATCTTATGCCAGATTTTGATGATTATACCCATGTCAATATCTTAACTATTCTTAAAATGAAGATTACATTTTCTACAAAGTGAATATGTTCAATGAATTATTCTTTGTAATCGAAGGCGAAGTCTTCATTAAAATCAACTCGAGTTGATAAATTAACTTGTCTTGAGTCCTTATATAAAGATGAACCATTACAGTACACTAGAAGTTTGGTTATGTACGTGAAACTAAGAAATGTTTAAATTTTTTATAAAACAGAAAAGAAAGGCAATAACTGATAATTACTTTCTATAGGTATCATCGAATAAATTATAAAATTTTCTGATTACATTTTCTCTTTCTTTTGCGATTTAAAAAGAAAAACAAGATTAAGTTACTCATACAATTTTACGTTTTCTTTTATCTATCAAAAGAAAGTATGTAAGGCAGAGTGGAAAAAAAACTACTAATTCTAAAAATTCATTTTTGAGACAAGAACATTTTATATTACGAAGTCATTATATTTTGGATTTATCGATAAATAAATACTTGTTCGACTACCCTCACTTATAGAAAAACGTCAATTTTTTTTGTTTTTCGTTTTGCTAGGATTTCATCAATCAATCAGTTTCATTTTGTAGAAGATATTTTGAAAAATAAAATGCTATAACATGAGAAGATTGAAAAATAAATTAAAACAACAACTATCATAGAAATGATAAAAAAGATATTTTTTGAAGAAAAAAACATTTCTTTAAAATTTCTTTCGTTTGTCATCGATATTTCAAGGATGTTTTATATTCTTGAGATTTCGAAAAGTTTTATGAGCAAAGACAAAAATAAAAACTTTATCTTTCTCCTAAAAATGAAGCATTCATTCATAATAGGGAAATGAGTTAGGAAAATAATTTCTTTTTGTAAAAATAAATCAAAAACAAAAAAAAAGACACCGGAGCGCGAATGACTATTGTATTGTATGTTATCATCATTCGAGTATACCAATTATGATGATTTTAATAAAAGAAAAAGAAAACAATATGTAGAGAACTTTGAACAATTTTCATTTAAACTTGAAAATAAAATAGAACCATCTCTTATAGAGATCGACAAATCTCATGATATCTCTATTAATATTATCTTAGACGATAATGTAATTATGTAATAACAAAGAAAAAAAACTGAAAATAATTAGCACTAGTTTCTTCTGACATATAAAATTTATCGGTAATACTTTTCATTTTAAATAACTATTTATAGAATAATTCTATATGAATTTAATAAACCAAGATTTCCATATGTCAAATACTCATGATCTCGAATGATGGTATAGTTAGACGTAACAAAGCCAAAAAAAAGAAATATCGTCGTGAAAAATGGTCTGAAGGACATGCTTTATTGTAAATTAAAAAAATCTATAGCATTCTTAATACCATCATAATAAAGATTGCCAGTATAATGTTGAATTGAAATTGTTTTGACTTGTTTCAGAATATTCATTTTCTATGAGAAATATACTATAAGTATATCATAAACAAAATAATCTACTCGTATATTGTAATGTTCAATTATTATAAAACTATATTTACATGAAACTAATCGATTCAACTCATTTTGTATAAAAAAAAGTACATGTTGATCGTAAGTGTTTGGACATCGAGAAATGTGTCCCACATAAGATCAAGTATCCTTTTCTGTGGAGAAGATGTAAGAAATACGTATAACATAATGAATATATGAGTCAGAATTATTATATCTTTCATTGAGATAATCAAAGCCAAATTCATTAAACAATGTATGTACCGTTAATCTACGTACTAATGAAAGAGAGATATATCTATAGAACTACATAAATTAATGATTATACGTTTGGTATTTTTAATCTCATTCACACAACAGAATTTTCTATTTTCAGAGAATTGATAGATGGTTTCAAGTTCTCTTTTTTATCAAGAGAGAGTAGTTTATTTTTCATCGAGTTATTTTTGTTTCGTGAGACTTTTCATAAAAATGAAATATTCATCCAAAGATAGGAAGGATGACTCGAAAAAAACATGTTCTTTTTTGTTTATGTTTCATAATTTCGATTGATAATCGATCAAAATTAGTTCATGTTTGCCTCGTTTCACTTGAGAAGATAGAGAACAATGAGACGAACATTTTCTTGTTTGAGGAACAATACTTGAAAACCTACTCGAGAAATACTAAAGGTTTTCAAAGTTCTCTCCAGTTGGAATGATTCGAATCACCCTAACTGGTGTAATTCAGATTACTATCTCAAGGTTCTCACCATTTTTATAAAAACTCTAGAGATAAATTTTGTTCGATGTAAGATAGTTGAACAATGATTGAGATAAATCAATTT